AGCTTCCAGGAATGACTTTGGGTGTACTGCTTCCCTTAAATTTCATTAAAGAATTTGAGGCATACTGGCATTAAATCTTCTCTAAATTTCTTGTGAATCTGCTGGGACCTGGGCTTTTCTTGGTAGTTTTTATTATTTCTTCAGTTACACTGACTGATACTGGCTTATTCAGGATTTTTGTATCTCCTTGGTTCAGGTTTGGTAGTTCATATGTATCTAGGAATTTTTCCATTTTCTCTGAATTTTCCATTTTATTAGAGTAAGATTCTCAAAATAGTTACCAATAATCTTTGGATTTTGACATAATCCATTGTGATTTTCATCTTTTTCATTTTTAAATGCATGGATTTGGGTCCTTTCTTTTCTTATTTTGGTAAGGTTTACTAAGGGTTTGTCTATTTTGTTTAATCTTTCAAAGAACCAACTCTTTAACTCATTGATTCTTTGTATTTTTAAGTCTCAATTTCATTAATTTCTGCCTTGATCTTTATAATTTCCTTCATCATCTTAGGTTTGGGTTTGAATTGTTAGTGTTTTTCTGTGACCTTGACATGCATCATTAAGTTTTTTACTTGAGCTTGTTCTGTTTTTGTTTTTTTTTAATGTGAGAATTCACTGCTATGAAATTCCCTCTTAGGACTGCTTTTATTGGATCCCATAGGTTCTGGTATGTTACAGTGGTATTATCATTTGATTTTAAACAATAATTTTTTTCTTTAATGTCATCTGTGAACCATTGACTATTCAAGAGAGTATTATTTAATTTTGATGTGTTTGCATAGTTTCTGTGGTGTCTTTTGCCATTGATTTCTAGCCTCACTGCACTGTGGTCCAATAATATGCAAGGGATAATTTCAATTCTTTTGCATTTACTTATTAAGCATGCTTTATTGGCTAGTATGTGGTGTATTTTGGAGAAAGTCCCATATGTTGCTGAGAAGAATGTGTATTTTGTTGATGTTGGATAGAACACTCTGTAGATATCTATTAAGTTCATTTGTTTAAAGGTTTGGTTTGATTCAGGTATTAATTTGTTGATTTTTTTCCCAAGTTGACCTGTCTATTTGTGACAGTGAGGTCCTGAAGTTGAGTGCACTAGTTTATAATTTTTAACTTCCTGTTTAATTGTGCCGTGAACAAACATGGATCTGGGCTCTGACTGCCTCCTTTGTCCTCCACTAGGAGCAGGGACATATCTTTAATGGGACACTGCCACAGTGGACCACAAAAGATACCCAAAGGCTTGAAATCACAGAGAAACTTCTCTTCTCTTCTCGTCTCCTCTCTTCTCTTCTTCTCTCTCTCTCTGCTTGTTTTATTTCATTTTTTTTGTTTTTGATTTTTTGTGAATGCAAGCATTAATGTTAGTTTCCTTCCTCTCTCTCTTTCTCTCTCTCTCTTCCCCCCCTTCTCTCTCTCTCTCCCTCTCTCTCTCTTTCCTGTCTTCTTTACCAGTTTCCTGCAGCTTAGGTAATCTTCCTTTGTCATTCAGCCTTGCTTCTAATCTCTTTTTCTTATATTTCTCTGTTTTTCCTCTTTTCCCTTTTAATATTTCTCCCATTAATTACTTCTGCCATATTTTTACTCACCATATAATTTTTTCTCCCTCTTTTTCTTTTATCTTCTAGTTCTTTCCAGTTTTTTGTTCTGCCTTTAGCTGGTTTTATCACCATCCTTCTGCTCCCAATAAGATCCTTTGTACCACTTCTTTCTCGTCCTTCTTTCATCATAGAGTTTAAGGTTTCAAAGTTTTCCTTTTGCATCCCTCCATTCCCAAACTCTATACCTTTAATATAGCCATAACCATAGATCTTTTGATATTTAACTCTGTAAAATTATTGTTGAATTCTTTTCTACAATTAGCAAAGATACAGCTGTTGCATTTAGTACCTATGAGCTGTAAGGCAATACCTGAGTCACCTTAATGTTTACATCATAATTGCCAGTTTCTTTAAGATTAAGAGTAATACATAACTGGTTCTTATAGTATGTTAATATCAAATTTGTCTCAGGCATTACTACTATAGCTGTTTCACTTGATATTAACAGGGTCACACAATTCTTTTTCTCTGTAAGCCATCACTCAGATTGGACATTAACCATACTAGAGTACATTCCTAGGGAACTTAGTTAGTGCGCTAACTACACTGCACCCTCCTTTTCCAAAATAACCAAAGTGGTCAAATCTCGGGGCTATGGCTAAACATTATAGTTAGCCATGCCCAAAGTGCATCACTGAAAAGTAACTAAATAGATCTCTAAGTGCTGTAGTTTTTAATGTAAAGATCTTTTACTTTCTTCATTAGGTTGATTCCTAGGTATTTCTTTTTTTTTTTTTTTTGGATGCAATTGTGAAAGATGTTGTTTCCCTGTGTTTCTCTCTCAGTGAGTTTGTTATTTGTGTACAGGAATGTTAGTTCTTTTAAATAAGAGTGTTGACTTTGTATCCAGCTATGCTACTGAATTTGGTTATTAAATCTAGAAGTCTTTCGGTGGAGTTTTTGGGATCTTCTTTGTGGAGTATCTTATCATCCACAAATAATGATAATTTAACTTCTTCCTTTCCTATCCTTATTTCTTTTATTTCTTTCTCTTGTCTAATTGGTACAGTACTCTCAAAATAGAGATTGAAGAAGATATCAGAAAATGGAAAGATATCCTTTGTTCTTGGGTAGGTAGAACCAACATAGTGGAAATGGCCACACTCCCAAAATTGTTATACAGATTTAATGCAATCCAAATCAAAATACTATTCGCATACCTCACAGAACTAGATAAAACATTCCTAAAATTCATTTGGAACCAGAAGAGATCCAGAACAGCCAAAATAATTCTGGCAACAAAGATAAGGCAGGGGGCATCACAATCGTTGACTTGAAATTATACTACAAAGCTACTGTGATAAAAACAGCAAACCATTACCAAGCCTTGGCCAAGGTAGTCATGCTTTGATCTCTTTTATACTCTGAGCTTCAAAACATGCTTTTTTTTTTTTGGTACTGGGGATCGAACTCAGGACCCTTGTGCTTGCAAGGCAGGCGGCAGAACCACTGAGCTAAATTCCTGGCCAAAACATGCTTCTCATAAAGAAAGAATATATTAGGTAACAGGTAACAGGTTTTAGTTGCAATTCTAGTGTATTTTGTACAGAGATACGGAGGCTCAAGCTTGTTATGTATTCAGTGTAATGAAGAAATTTATTAAAACTTACTGGTACCATTCAGATTTGCCTGTGGTTATATTAGTTAGATAGCATTTGTTTTACTCCCAGGAGTATAAACCTGGAAGAATTTTTTTAACTCTGCCTTTTCTCAACTTTCCATTTCTCAAGTACCATGTTCATATAAAAAGATCTGCTGCTTAAGCCACATCTATGTGTAGCTTTTACTGCCCCTTTCCGCTCTCTATTTTGTAGCTTCACCCATTAATACTGTTAGGAACCCAGGCTTGGGACCAGCAAGGCCATGGTTTCACTTTCCATCCCTTATTGCCATTTTTACAAGAACAAGCTGTTTTCCTTCAGCAAAGATGTACTTTCCTTTGACCAGCTCAGAGACCATAGCAAGGCATATGGGAATATACAGAGCATATGTGACCTCCTATACACTTAACACCACTATGGGAAAAACTCAAAGCTGAGTCCCTGGTGTCCTCCTGAAAGGTCATGAACAGCTCTGTCATATGAATACCAGAAAATTCTCTGCAAAGCATATTATTGTGGAGATATGTGTGAATCAGAGAGTAGGGCTTGTTCTCTGTAAGTGGCCCTCAGGCTCTACAGGACACTCAGGCAGCTGGATTACTAGATAGAAGGAAATCTCTTTTCCTCCTCTTTGGCTCAAAATTGAAGATTCCATCTATCCTTCCTTGTGCTTGTCTGTCTCTTCATCTACAGTTCCAAGTGCATCACAGACAGTTACACATTGCTATTGGCCCTTGAGCGCTTACCCTATGCTTAGTGCTCTACTACATGGGGCCATATGTGATCTCATTTAATTCTCAGTTTTGTGAGATGAGGAATTGTCATCATTCCCATTAATTTTCCCACAAGACAAGTAAGTCAGAGACATTTTCTGTCCAAGATAAACAACTGCTGAGAAATATAGCAGCTGCCCTTTGATACTTCCTCCATTTAGTCACTGCACGTTGTTCTTCAAACTTGAGTCAGATCAGAAACCCAGCCTACAGACCCAGCATGTGGTCAAAGTTACTATTTATTTTCACTCTGATCCAGTCCACTTTTTCTAGGAAAAGCTGGGGTGTAAGAATAAGAATGCCAGGATACAGCCTAGAAGAAGGAGATAGTGTGTTAGTTCCCTACGGCTCAAATAACTGTTCACCACAAATTTAGTGGTGACAACAACACAAATTTATTACTTTACTGTACAAAGGTTAGAAATCCAAAGTAATTCTCATCAGCCTAGCATCAGTGTCTCACCAGAATTGTGTTTCTTCTGTGAGCTCTAAGGAACAATCCATTTTCCTGCCTTTTCTAGCTTGTGTCCCCTTCTTCCACGTTCAGAGCCAGTAAGGACTGGCAAAGCTTTCCTCATTGCATTCTCTGATTCTTACTCTCCTGCCTCCCCATTCCCCAGTTAACAACTTTATGATTATGTTGGGTTCACCAGAGTGATCCAAAATATTTGTAATATTTTAAGGTTAGCTCTTTGTCAGCCATAATTCCATAGGCTACTTCAATCCCTCCTTGACATATAACAATATATTCACAGGTTCCCAGGATTAGGACATGGATACCTTAGGAGAGGAGGAATATTTTTCTGCCTGCTAGGGCATATGTCAGAACCAAGGGTTGAAAAATTACAAACAGAGTGTTTTCTGAAAGTGTAAAATTATGGCCTTGTCAGATTAACTTTGACAATCCAAAGTAAAGAAAAAAAATCTTTTCCTTAATCTTGACTCTTCTGAAGTATGAAATAACGGTGCTGATTTTGCTAAATTCAGTGTCCTGGTCCTGGGACTGACGTGTTCACTCTTCTCAGCTTGTGGATGGCACAGAAATACAGCAACTGAATGTCCAGTGGCTGCGAGCACAGCTGGGCATTGTGTCCCAGGAGCCCATCCTGTTTGACTGCAGCATCGGGGGGAACATCGCCTATGGGGACAACAGCAGGACTGTGTCACAGGAAGAGATCGTGAAGGCAGCCAAGGAGGCCAACATCCACCAGTTCATCGAGTCGCTGCCCGAGGTAAGTGTCCCTCCACAGTAAGAGACCAGGAGCATGTAGCAGCCTTACTCCCTTGACGTTTGTTTTTTCTTCTCTTCCTTTTCTTTTATTTTTTAAAATCTTTTTTGGTTTTTTGAGACAGGGTCTTACTTTGTAGACCAGGATGGCTCAAACTCACAGTTACTGTCCTGTTTCAGCCTCTCAAGTGCTGGGATCACAAGCATGCATGGCCATGCTCGGCTTTCTTTTCTTTCTTTCTTTCTCCTTCCTTCCTTCTCTCCTTCCTTTTTCCCTCCCCTCACCCACATTCTCCCATTCTCCCATCCTTCCTTTGTGGTACTGAGGATAAAATCCAGGGCCTGACAGGTTCAATCATTCTATATTGGGGTTTACTGAAAGGCTCTTATCACAGTTCCTGTCCCAGTTAGCAATTTGTTTACTTGGTCACCTGAGTCTCCCTGAATGAAAGCAAAAATGTGTGAGGGAAAAACTGCAGGGTGAAGAGACCTAGAATAGTTCTTGGATTTGTGGGTTTGAGGCTCCTCCAGCTTTAATCCTAGGAATAAGAAGGATGTGTGGGAGGCTTTTCCCTCCAAGTCCAAGCCCTACAAGCCTACAGGCAGCATCAGTGGCCATGCTGCTTCTGACACTGCTTGAGAAGCAAGCATGATGATCCCTTCCTTTTTCACTTCCTTCTACAACCTTGAAGAACTTCTTGAAGCTTTAAGCATGGCCCTGTAAAGTCAGGCCAGGCCAGAGAAACTGACCCGTGGCAGAAAGAGGGCTCTCTATGAATAACCACCGGGGTGACTGTGGTATCTTGTAATCTCTAATTGTACATGTTGTGGGCCCCAAGATCCATTTATAGGGTTGATTGATGAAATCTTCCCAGGGCTGTTGTGTTATGGATGTTTTCCAAATTTCTCTAGCAAGTTAGATAAATGCAACCACTCTCATCTCTTAGGGCTGGCTAGATCCTGTTTTGAAAAACATAGCAATTTAGCTAACCTACCTCTTCCCATTTTCACTGTTATGTTGTTTATTATAAGATAGTGCCCCTAAAAATAAAGCTCAATAATTTCTACCCAATGCGGAGGGCAGTCTTCTCAGGTGAAGGGTAGCAGCACCAAATGGCCCTAACTTCTTCCAAGATTTCCCTTGTCTTTAAGCTCTTATTTAAATACTGCTGCCTCCAAGCACAGAGTAAAGAAGCGTCACTGTCCCCCTTTTCTTTAATAGTCTAGTCCAACCATGGACAATTGACTCTTCTTGAGACTTAAGCATTGAAAGTATAAAATTATGACACCCTGTGCTAATGAGAAATCAGTGGTTCTCAAAGGATGGACATGGGAACTTATTAGAAATGCAGATCTTTAGGCCCCACCTTAAATGTACTGACTAAGAAATTCTGGCCGTAGAAAGCAGTAGTCTGGGATTTAAATAGCTTGGGTGATGCAGATTATAAAACACAAACATAGATAATGACTATTATCCAGTATTTAAGTATAACCAGTTACTCTGGGGTTTACACAGAGACCCCACCTTTCTGGATTCTTCTGTATCTGTCACACAGCACACCTGTAGACACCATGACTCTTTTTTCCATTTAAGTTCTGCTATCTATCTACAGATCCACTTCTGAGTGATTAGCACTAGGACTCACCTACTCCTGCAGAGGCTGGCTTAGCTTCTCATTCCTATAGGGTTATAACACTGTCTTCCCCTGCCTCAGGAGGATCAGTGCTATCAGTGCAACCTGGTGACAACTACACTCACATGAGACACTTCTATGTACTTGCCTTCTAAGGCAGCGAAGCTCCATGGTGGAGTTAGTTTTGAGTCTGCCAAAACATCAGCAGGGGTTTTCTCCATTTTCAAATGGGAAACTTTGTTCTGAGCACCAGACTAGATGTGTTAAATATCACAAATAAAAAAGCCGGTACCACATTTTATAACCTATGGGACACAAAGCAGTCCTAAGAGGGAAGTTTACAGCTGTGAATGCCCACATCAGAAACACAAAGGAAGGGCCGGGGATTCAACTCAGTGGTGCCTTGCCTGCTTGGCAAGCGCAAAGTCCTGAGTTTGTTTCTTGATATGAAAAAAACAACAACAACAACAACAAAAAACCCAGAGTGAGCCCAAATAACCCAAGGATGCACTTCAAGGTCCTAGGAAAATAACAATCCAAATACAAAACTAGCATAAAGAAGGAAATTGTAAAGATCAGAGCAGAAATGATTTCAGATTAAAATAGTACAATGAATCAATGAATCGAAGAGCTGGTTCTTTAAAAGAATAAACAAAATAGACAAATCTTTAACTGTACAAAAAAGGAAAACAAGGACCCAATTCAATGCAATTAGAAATGAACAAGGAGACCACAGACACTGCTGAAATCCGGAAAATTATTGCTACTTTGAAAACTTTGAAAACCTATACTCCAATAAATTGGAGAATTCAAAAGAAATGGATAAATTTCTAGATACATATGAATTACCAAAGCTGAACCAAGAAATATGAAAACTGAATTCAATAACAGATGATGAAACTGATTCAGTAATAAAAAAACCTACCAACTAAGGAAAGCCCAGTACATAATGGATTCACCACTAAATTCTACAAGAATTTCAAGGAATATCTCCCACCAGTACTCTTCAGACTCCTTAATGAAACTGAAAGGAAAAGAGTACTCCCAAATTCATTCCTAGGAGCAAGCTTTACTCTGATTCCAAAACCAGACAAAACTCCAACCAAAAAGAACTACAGAGTAATCTCTTTAATGAATGTTGGATGCAAAAATACTGACAAACAGAGTACAAGAAATCATCAAAAGCATCATCCATCCTGACCTAATGGGCTTCATTCCAGGGATGCAAGGTTGTTTCAACACATGAAAATCAGTAAATGTAATACAACACATGAACAAAACTAAAGACAGAAACCATACAATCATCTCAATAGATGCAGAAAAAAGCCATGACAAAAATCCAACATCAATCTATTCATGATAGAATCCCTGAAGAAAATATAGAAGGACCTTATCTCATTCTGATATAAACCATTCATTACAAACCTACTGCCAACATCATATTAAATAGGGAAAAGCTAAACGCTTTCCCTCTAAAATCAGGAAAAAGACAAGAATGTCCACTATGACTACTCTTCTTCAATATAGTAGTCAAATCTTTAGCCAGAGCAATCAGACAAGACAAAGAAGTAAAAGGCATATGTATGAGAAAGGAAGAAGCCAACTTTTATTTGCAAATGACATCATCATTCACATAGAATGTGCAAAAAATTACACCAGAAACTCCTAGAATTAATAATCAAATTAAATAGTGTAACAGTTTACAAAATTCAACACTTACAAATCAATACCATTCTCATATACCACTAATGAACTCACTGAGAAAGAAATTAAGAAAATACCATTCTATTGAGAATTGATGCTGTTGACATCAAGAAAAATTAGATACTTAGTAATTAACCTAACCAAGAAAGTGAAAGACCTCTTTTACAAAAATTATATCATTCAGAAATAGATCGAGGAAGAAAGACATCAGAAAAAGGAAAGATATCCCCCTTTTTTTGATAGGCAGAATAAATATAATAAAAAATGTCCAAATTCACAAAACCGATATATAGATTTAACTAAAACTTGGAGGCAGCCTATATGTCTATCAGAAGATGAATGACTAAAGAAAATATGGTATGCAACATGGCTGAATAGAGGAGGAGCTACATTGGAGCTACTCAGAGAAAATTAACTAAAAACACAGGTAATTGGAAGAATGGGAGAGACATACATCCTGACATCAAAAGCAATCTGAAAAAGAGACTAATAGATCAAACAAAACATAGGCATAGGACTTCATAAAACAGCACACCAGCCCACAGGGCTGCAGCTGCATGGTATACTAAGCAAGTATCGCCATACTGGGAAGTCTTCAAAAAATTGATGGACTTCAAAAGTGCCGCTTACTGAAGGCTCCTATAAGGCCCCTTGCCTCGTCTGCCTTCCTCCACACAGACTGTATAGCCTGGCAGCGCATTTCACCAGCACACAGGAGCCACCAGGAAACTGCTCCTTCCCCAGTGAGTGGGCAGCCAGCTTTTTCTTTTCTGTCATGTGCCCTAGCTGCTAACTGGTTACCCTAGCAACAACAAAGTTAGGAACTGCAGCGCAGCAGGAGGCAGTGAAGGAAGTGAGTGGGGAACCAGTGGCTTGAGAGAAAGATGCAGATGCTCGGAATTTGAACAACCTTGGGAGGTCAGCACTTAACCCACTGGAGAGGAGATTGAAGGGAAACTGAGCAGCCCCAGCAGCGACAGTACCCCACCACCACTGGACAACAAGCAGTGCGACAGGATAGAGACCTGCCAGTGGGGCTGAAACAGAGGAGGCTGTGCAAAGACCAGGAGGAGCCAGCTGTACACTGGACAGGAAGCATCCCTGGGCTGTCCCTGCCTGAGGGCACCACAGCAACTGGGAGAGTGGTGGAGAAGCAATCACTGTGAGGAAATCTGAGTGGGCAGCCCCCAGGACATCTGGAAAGCTGCTGGCTGAAGAACGGCACCAGCTTTCATATCTGGAGCCCCAAATCAGCCCTGTACCCAGCACTAATCCTACTGCAGACTTGGCAGGGTTTACCCAGCACAGTATGGGGACAATACTTGCCTTAGACAGTACCACAGAACTGTGGACACCAGAAGAATTTTTTTTCTTTCATTTTACTTTTTCTGTCTAGTTGGTGGTTTTTTCCTTAGGTTGTTTAGGTTCTTATATTTATTTTTTTGTTGTTTTACTCATCTTCCTTCTCTCCTCACCTATCTGTCTTGATTTTAGGATATTTTCATGTAAGTGAACATTGTCTCTTGTCTTTGTGGTTCACTTTGAAATTCTTTTGCTTCATCTTTCATTCTTTCTCTCCTTCCCTCTTCTCCAGTTTCCCAAAGCTTAGATGATCATCCTTTGTCCTCCAGCCTTGCCTCTACTGTATTTCCCTTAATTTATCTTT